TTTTATCGAATCATTCTTATATATATATATATATATATATATATGTGTGTGAGAGAGAGAGAGAGAATAAAGTGAGGGTGTGGAAAACGAATTCAACGAATGTTGAGCTAAAATATACAATAAAGATATTGAAAAAACACATTTTCATATAAATATAATAAAATAAATTTAGTTTATGCATCCACTATGATTGCTAAAATAAGAAAATGTCCAAAAATAATTATATTATTATTTTATATGTAAAAGGTATCAATAAGTATTGAATTATATATATGATCAAAATATTTTATATTTATTTAGTAATACAAAAGGCAGAAAATATTTTTCAAATGATTATTGACTTTTTCTTTAATATTACATGAATATAGATGCAGATTTACACTACAAAAAACACTTACATTCCAACGGAAATTTTTCGTTGGAATTTTTTATATTTCCGTTGGAATAGCTATTCCAACGGATATTCCTACGTATAAAAATCCGTTGGAAAAACGGTCGTTGGAATAGCAAATATCCAGCAGAAAATCCTATGGAAATAAATTCCTACAGCTATTCCAACGGAAAAAATTGTTGGAATTCCTCAACTATCCAACACTTATTCCAACATAAAATTAAGTTTGTCGGAATATTCAATGGAATTTCCAACGAAAATTTTTGCCGTTGGAATTGTAGTGTTTTTTTGTAGTATTATTGACTGCGTTCTCATTAACAATATATAGTTTGTCTGAACATGTGATCACAGTCTAAATATATTTTAATATTTAAATATAGATCAATACGTATGATCCTAACAAATTTTAAACTATTTTTAATCGTCTTTACATGAAACATATATAATTTGTTTATGCTCTCTTGTAAATTATAATTACTTTAGGATTATTAAATTTTTAATTGACATTTTAGTAGTTTGGATATATATATATATATAGAAACAATCTCCTTTTCGATCGCCACTATTGATGTCCTGTTTTTTTATGCTTATTTATCTGATATCGATCTGTCAATATTCTATATCATTGAAATACATTATAAATATTTCATAACCTCTAATTAAGTTGTCTTAAAGCGTACTTTTTGTAGACGTTGCTGGCCGACCATCAACATACATTATTATAAAGTATATATAATACAACTAAACTAGTTTCTACGTAATTAAAAATTAGGAAATTGTGTATAGATTCAAAATAATATACATTACATTATTTTTAATTAAGTGTCGGTTTATAATGTATATGTTTCAACTTTAAGACCACTTATTTAGCAACCTAAGTAATATATCCTCCCTATATATAATTATCAAATGCCCTGAGCCTACGTGGCTGTTTCTGGTGCTTCGGAATCCTACTTGGCGAAGAATCATGCTTCGTAAGTAGGTTTGGACAAATAATATTGATATATTAATAATTAATAATTTAACTTCGGACATTCCATAAATATTGTTTAGCTAACTTAGTATTTTAATATCACTTTTACTACTATAACCTTTTTTTTTTTTTGGTACAGGGACCTTCCGGTTTCCGGATCCACAGGGGAACCGACTAATCCGGAATCGAGCCGGGTAGGACCACAAGGGCGGCAAAGCTCTCCCTCAAGAGTTTTAACACTGCTGCATTCCCAGGGCTCGAACTCGAAACCACTGGTTAAGCTGGAAGAGACCCAAGCCATCTCATCTAAGCGCTCTTGGGTTACTATAACCCTTTAATTCTTTGTACTTTTATATAGTGAGACACTAAGTGACTAATATATCCCTGACTTTTGATTTGTTTCCTTCAATTAAGAATTGAATTGTAAATTTATTTTAAAAGTTGATAACTTTTGTATTTCATATCGGTTTTACATATATGATATATCAAATTAATCATCTTTTGATGATCTTCGATTTGATATCCATATTGTATATATGAACTAAATAAATTATATATACCTTTATAATAATAAAAAATAATAATATTTATTAAAAATCATTAGAAAAATAAAATTATTTATCAATTGATATATTTATGTTTAATGTAATTATATGTTGTAAGTTAAGAAAATTATTATAATATAACACAGGTAAGTCGCACAAATAAAAAAGTGTCATACTAAATATATAATAATATATATATTTATAAAAGGTATTGAAATTTTTAATTAATTTTTCTCATTAATTTTATATTTTAAGAAAAAATTAGCAAGCACCCGTGTAATACACGGACGTTGTACTAGTTGTAATAATATATGCGTAGGGAAAGAGAGATGAAATGATTTTTAAGTATTATTTATTAATATTATTAGAATATGTTGAGTTTTCAGTTTTTTTAATTCTAAATATATAATAATATATATTTTTTTGTAAAAACAGTAAAATTTAAAATAATTTTTTAACAAGCACCCATGTAATATACGAAGTGTTCTATATATAAAAGGTAAAGATGAAAGAAGTGGAACAAGTTGCGGTATTGGGCCTCTCACACGTAGGCCTTTGTGGAGCAGCCCATCCTCTTTCTTGGACATATGCAGTAGGAGACTAATGGGCCATTCCATAAAGCCCAACACTCCACACACACCAACATGTCTCCACTCGGATTTGGGATTGCGCATTGCCGGCGCCGGACCACATTTCACCACCGCCAACAGCCCCAAATTTCCCTGCGCCGTTATGCTATTGTGCGCCCCAAGCGCACGGATCAAGTTAGCCTTGGGCGGAGAAGGAAGCAGACAATCAAAGCGATGAGAGCCGTGGTCCAGCGCGTGGCCTCCGCGAGCGTTGAGGTCTGCTTACAGTTACAAACTTTTACAGTGTACATATTATTAGTTGCATAAATTTCACGTTGTGGCCAAAACGCCGTCGTACTCTTAGTTTCCGGTAGCTCACCCCCCGCCTGAGCTTGTGGTTGTTGCAGGTGGAAGGCCGGACGGTGTCGGCGATCGGGCCGGGCCTGCTTGTTCTAATCGGGCTTCACGAGACCGATGTGGATTCCGATGCCGAGTACATGTATGTATGAATTCGGAACAAGGAACTGATTTTATTTGTAAATTTTTATTTTTTTGTCTGCAAGTGTTATAGTAGAGAAATTCTGGTTTTGCTACTTTTTGATTATCTTGATGGGTTTGCAGATGCCGCAAGGTGTTGAACATGAGATTGTTTCCAAATGACAATAATGGAAAAACTTGGGACCAAAGTGTAATTTCTTTGGCACTTTTAATGACTTTCACATTTTGATATGAGCAAGAGCAATGTCTATTATGTTTTCTTAGCTGTGTTTAGATTCTTTTCTTTTACCCTTTAGATTGAGATTTACATTGGATGTAATGAACTTTCGTTTTCCTCGGCAAATATCCAATTTTTCTTGAACATGCGATGGCGAAATGATACACATTCCTTTATTTGTTTGGTGTGTGTAGTTCGGGTCCGATGTTCCTTAATTCTGTAATCACAATCGGCATATCGATTTTCAGCATTAATCACATAATTGGAAGAAAAAGAAAAGGCTTTCAAATCTGTTGCTTGTATATACAAAAAGTAAAAGCCATGCTTCTGAAGAACACTAACCCATCTAAACATGGACAGGTTGTGCAAAGAAATTATGAAGTTCTTTTAGGTATATTTTCTGCATCTTATCTTTTTCCTCGTTTAATCCATTTCCTATGTTATTTTTATGCTAGTTATTGGATTTTTTTTTTTTTTAATCTTCGAACCGTTTATGCTGATAGGCTGGTTCTTATATGATGCAGTGAGTCAGTTCACGTTATTTGGGATTTTGAAAGGAAACAAACCAGATTTTCACGTGGCAATGCCTCCGGATGTGGCAAAACCATTTTATGCTTCCGTGGTCGAAAAATTTCAGAAAGCTTACCGAGTAGATGCAGTTAAAGGTACATTTGTGTGTGTATGTGTGGGGAGGGAGAGAGGAAGAGAGAATTTCCTATAACCAATAGCTCATGCAAGGGATTATTGTTGAAATTTTGTTTTGACCTGCAATATGACATCCATAACGTTGTTTCGCTCATGTAAGGTTTAACATTTGAGCTCTCCCATTTTTATTTTTTTTTTCATAATTACAAGCGCACACTATTTTCTGATAATCTTCCTGAAATGACCCTCCAGACTAACTAATCAAAACCTTATGTTGAACTATTGAATAAATTAGGTACTGTAAGTAGTTAATATACAATGTGGCTTCTTATTTACGAGTTAGTGAATCAATTGGGTCACAGCGCTGCAGTTTCTCCAAACCAAAAGCATGTCATTATATCGAATTCTCATGCGTGAATACTTAACTCTGATTGATGTTTCTGTGCAGATGGTGTGTTTGGAGCCATGATGAAAGTGAGACTTCGCAACTTTTGTGCTTTTTAGTTATTCGTTTCACTTGTACACTTCATTACTGCGAATGATTGTAGATAACACCTTTAATTCGTAACTTCTATCCTTTCTCGTTTTTTTTCTTCTAATTTTACTTTTTTATACCTGAATTGAAGGTCAACTTGGTTAACGATGGGCCAGTGACAATGCAGCTCGACTCCAGGCAATTGTCAAAGTAAAAGTCCAGACCAACCATGAACTAGACGAATTTACAAGTCTATGGCATCTGGATATATTCTTATATTGCTCTAAAATTACGGGGTTTGTTGTTTCAGGAATTCAAATGGTGAAGCAAAAGGTTCATAACCAACACGATCACCTTAAGCGTTTTTTTGAAAAGTTGGAAGTTCACTTGATTTTATAAAACAGCAGGAATGAAGAATGTATTACTTGGCAATGCGTGTGTCGAATCTTGGATTGATTGAATAATTTCAAAGCACGAATGAAGATAAGCCTGGACATTAGTTTTATGTTATTGTATAATTTGTTCTTGCCGTTGGTGTTATTACTGGCCATAGTACAGCAAATTATCGAAAGAGCACCGACTGTTTCATTACATGAACACTTTTAGATCTCAAATGTTTGAGTCAAACGTGTATTCATATACGATGTCCTAATTCCTAATTTAGCAAATACGTTGTATGTGCTATGCTTTCGCTATCAGGAAAGGTATTCCTGCGATCTCTGGTTAGTAATAAAAAATGAAACAGAAAAAGGAAAAATTAAAATGATAATTCCGTTGCCGGGACTTGAACCCGGGTCTCTCGGGTGAGAGCCGAGTATCCTAACCACCTAGACTACAACGGATTTGTTTCCTGCTGTACTACCCTTAGCTACTTGTTAAAAAACAAAACTACCCACGAATTTATTTAAAACAAACATCCATTAACCCATCTTTAATTTATTGTTGGAACCATTTTGCGTCTTAATCAAACGTGTATATAACTGATGCCTCGTTTACTAGAGATGATGAGATTGGATAAATTCATCCCTCCAATCTGTCACATCAAATTTTGAATACAAATTGTCCCATGTTTATGAAAGTAGATAAAAGTCTATGATAAATACATTATATTACCGATTTAATTACTCAAATTAATATTTTTATAAATTAAATAAAATTAATTTATATTTAAAAATATTTTTTAACTTAAATAAAATTAAATAAGATAATATTTTTTTAAACTAAATAAAATTATTTTAGATTAAATAATATTATTTTAGATTAAATAATTATTTTAAATTTAATAAAATTATTTATATTAATATTTTAAAAATTAAATAATATTAGTGATATTAAAAAGTATTTAAAAATTAAATAAAATTAATTAAATTAATATTTATAGATTAAAATATTATTATTTAAATTAAATAAAATTATTTTAGATTAAATAATATTATTTTAAATAAATGAAAATTATTTAAATTAATATTTTACAAAGTAAATAATATTATTTTAAAATTTTAAATTATTCTATATTAAACAATAATTTTAAATTAAACAAAATTATTTAAATTAATATTTTATAGATTAAATAATATTATTTTAAATTAAATAAAAATATTTTAGATTAAATATTATTATTCTAAATTAAATAAAATTATTTTAAATTAAATAAAATTCATTTAAGACTAAGGATAATTTTATCACACCATAATGGCCGAATTTCATTATCCTACCAACAAGGATACACGCGTGCGCCAACTCATGCCACGTCATCTGTATCCTTATCTCAATTCTATTTAGTAACAGATGAATAAGATTGGTTAACCAACCTTATCCCATTCTATCAAAGCTAGTAAACGGGGATAGAATAGAAATCTTGCTTGGCGTCCATCAGGTAAATCCATTTAACTGGCTATTTTATTGTACATTTGTCTTTTTTGCTTTTACCAAACAGGCAACCAACCATTGCTTATCAAGCAAACACTTCTCATTCATGTTATTTTAGCCAAGTCCTTTGGTTACACAACTCAATTTAGAATAAATTCTATGAAAGAATTATTTATTTTTAATCAGCATGTAATATAAGTTTAGTTGTGTCAGTAATAGTTTTAATTGATACTCCTTTTGGTTATAACTTATAACAGTGTAACAATATTAATGGCTCAACTAGATCTCAAGCACCTGAGTTAACTAACTTTAATCAGAGTACTTAATAGGCCTCAAAGAACTGCCAATGCAGAACAAAGCCAAATAGTTTGTCAATGTCCCAAATTTAACATATATATATAAAAGTGAAATGCTACAGTCCTGTTACGGAATCATTCTGTTGGGATTTGTAACCGTTAGATCATCTTTTAACCTTAGTGGATAGTTGATCTATCGATTACAAATCCCGACGGAATGATTCTGTAACATGACCGTAGAATCTCCCATATATTAATACTTGCAAAATTGTACTTCTTGGTGCCAATAACAACCCACTAGAAAACATGAACACAGTCATGAAAAACCCATCCATTCAAGATCTGTAGAATCAGTTCATCGTAACATGGTGGTACAGAAACTCAACAATTTTGTTACCAAGAATTCACACATAATATCGCATATATGAATATATATATATATGTTTATTAAATAATGGCTATCCATTGTTTTTCACCAACAAATGATCTCCAAAGCTATACCTTATTCCTTAACTAGGCTGTCGATTAAAGGTCTAAACTCTTGAAACAGCAGAAAATATGTTTTTTCAGTCGGGTGAATCGCATCCCAAAACACGTACTCGTTTACATCTTCGCATACGAGACTCTTTGAGTTGCACATATACGAAGCTTCGAGCAGCCCTGTCCCGCAACATCCCTTTCTAACCTCCTCAAAATCTGTTATTATCGCAAAATAAACGATCACCGAATCAAAAAAAAAAAAAAAAGAAATCATTATATTACTCACCATATTTGTTGCCTAAGGTCATTTCCTCTAAAGGTCCAAATATGTCCACGTAAGCAATCCGAGATCCGGAAGGTTGAAGCTTTTTTTGCATGTCGTTCAATTCGTTTTGTAGCATGCTATTATAATCTCGTGCTATTGATGAAAATTTCGTAATGCATTCTCGGTTTGCGATTGGGTCCTCGGAAAATAGTGTTATTACAATCGGCAAGCAGCCCATCGGAGGCAGGCCCACTACTCCTATTCGCGTCGCACCTTGGTCCACTAACCCCTGCACGGTTCAAACACATTTATAGAAACGTACATTGTTGTTTGTTCGTACTATAGCAAAAATTTAAATCGATCCAATATCAATTTTTTCATTCAAACTCGTACAAAATATCATGAGCTGTCGGTACCTGAAGAACTTGCCGAGCTTCTTGTAGCACGAAACTCGTGTATTTTGAGATCGTGTAATTGTTACGCCTAATAGGCACGCTAAAATAATTTACGACAAAGTCATTAGTCCCGGCACTGACTAGAAACAGAGCATTTTTTACTATCTCCATTGTCCTGTCCTTCCCAAGAGCTGTCTCTAGCTTCGCCCGGTAACTTTTGAAATGTTCCAATTGCTCCGAAAATGAGATCACACTCTGAAAAAAAA